AACCCAATAGAGCATCTTTGGGATGTGGTGGAACGGGAGCTTCGTGCCCTGGAGCAACTGCAAGATGCTATCCTATCAATATGGGCCAACATTTCTAAAGAATGCTTTCAGCACCTTGTTGAATCAATGCCACGTAGAACTAAGGCAGTTCTGAAGGCGAAAGGGGGTCAAACACCGTATTAGTATGGTGTTCCTAATAATCCTTTAGGTGAGTGTATAGTAGGATGTAGCCTTCTCTAACACAAACAAAGGACACATGGGGACAGGCTGAAAAGGGGGGGGTTTACCATTACAAGTATGTAAATATGAATTCCATATTATTATTTATGGTGACAAACAATCCACCAAAAGCCTATGAAAGCCTCTTTTTATGCCTCAAATGGCTAATTTTTCCATTTCATATATCTGTGGAAAGACAGCCATCTGATTTTCTTGGCTGGGGGGGGGGGTAAAATCTCTTAAGTCTCCAGTAACCATTTATGTGGTACAGATGCCCGTAACTTCAAAAACATCTCCTCAAGCAATACTTCCAGATTATTTTTTTTTGCTTGGAAAATAAAAGTGAAAACATTTAATATTCTCTACTGACTTTAATTCTTCAGTTAGACTACTAAACACGACAGAAATGTAACTAAGGAGGTGCCACGGGATGTGAAGGAGAGATATGGACTGACAGACATCACAACAACATTATCTCCAACCACAATAATGATTAATAACCAGTTACACCAATACAATTTTCTACACTGCTGTCCAAACACAACCAATAAAACAATTCACTAGTACCAACCAAGTAAAGTTACAGTAACCTTTACAAAAGACCTACATACAAATCTTCGAATACCTGTAATGCTGCTGAGAGAAAATACGGCAGCAGAGGTCATGCACCTGTACTGAGACATACGGTCCTTAGGTAGGCAATACCATAGGTGAGCATCTTATGGAAAGGCAGTGGGGTTCAGTTTGCATGCAGGCACAGCTACACATACAGTAAAGATAGCAGATAGCATGGTTAGGGAGGGTCAGGCTTCCTGCTTTCTCCTTGTACTCTATAAACATTGTATAAACATTACTATAAATAAGTCTAGAAAAATATTCTAAAATAAAAATGTATATTTTTTCATTGCCAGCATCCCCACTTATCAAATTTTTATCGGTTGCAGTATGGTAGTTAGATAGTGAAATTTATTGTGGGGGAATTTAATTGCATCACGACAGGTACAGATCTGGGGAGCCTGATTACACTGAGACAAATTATACAAAGTTAGGCTTTTAATAAGGATTTTTTTTGGAAGAGGTTCTGTATACTGCAGTGTTTTTGTTCACCGAAATGTATCATGGGCGAACCCCCCGGCTCAAAGACATTTATTAAAGGGGACCCTCCCCCACATGCATGCTGAAACACTGGAATAGCATTGCTTTTGGAAATACCATATATTGTGGCGTTAAATACTATAGCATGAAAAAATATGCATCACCCCAGCCTACTGTAGGAAGGCTAGACAGAGGTTGGGGTGTGGGAGGAGTAGGGATTAGATGGGAGAGAGGGGGTGACAGGCCATTCCGGGGAATACAGTGTCGTCGTGCCAACAGCATCTAGTACGTTCTGGATGCTCGATTTTCCACTCTTCCCCCGACAGCTCCAGTTTTTATTTTAGGTTTTCAAAACCATTGATTAGCCTTGTGCATGCATATGGACTGTTCATCGTACTTTGTACTGACTGACTACACTTTTAAAAGTTCTGTTTGTATTAGGGTCATTCCATGTCAAATCATCACACTTTCGGACCTCATTGTCACGGATTTTAACGAAACTTGGCATGCTGATTTGGTCACATGAGTAACTTATGAAATTGAAATTGGGCGTGTCTGGGATCAATATTGAGGGAGATTTAAGCAAGCAAATTTTAACTTTTTTTTTGGGGGGGGGGGCTATGACTTTCACTGGCTATATTTACCTTAATGTAAGCTGCACAGAAGTGGTCCTTATATTGTTTTAAAGCTATTGTCCAGCTCTATAGATTGAACAATGCCATCCCCATATGAATAATTACCATGTAATAACCAATTAAAAAAATAAAAATTCAATTAAAAAAAAAATCTATATTTAAAAATTGATCAATTTTTAATCTGAAGTGTGTATCAAAACCACAATTCTTTACAACGCTGTTAGCAGTAGCAGAATAGCAGTTAGTGATCAATGCTTGGTACAGGGTTAATATTTTTCATGACAACTACTATTGCCAGAACTAGCTGTGGAAATCATTTTTCAATTTAAATTTTTAATTACTATTAAAAATGAAGAGAGACAAATATTGCCAAAGTAACTGAAAAACTCTCCGTCTTGAGAATTTAGGTGACCAATGCATGATACAGCATAACATTTACCAGAACAGCTCTAGACAGATTATTTCTCTAACACTGTACCAGTTCATGACATTAAGCAGAAATGGACAGTTAAAGAATAAAGCAGAACAGTCACCTTTGCCTGCCCTCCTCTAATCTGTATTTACAATTGATTTCCTTATGCTTTTCCACATATTTCACTAATGTTTCCAGTGCAGTCTGTCTTTCCATTTTCATCCCCTCACAGCTACAGCTGTAGCACAGCCAATGACACTGTTCTCTGGGTGACAGGCCAGAGATCACACACCAAAGTTGGGCACAATCACACAACATGGTGACACTACAACATCTCAGTATAACTGAACTTTTAGGCAGGATTATCAGAATGAAAAAAATCAAACTGTCCACTCACTATAAGTTAACTGTTAAAGGTCACATATCTGTACATAAGGTCTAGGAGGCCATTCTGGGGTTTATCTGTGAGCAGGAATTACTGAAATGGCTTCAGCAAATCTACAGGAATGATGCACAGACACACATACACATACAGCAAAAAGATGTAGCAGAAGACGTGTAGGATCCTGGGTATAGATGTGCAATGTGAGAACCTTCACAGATCGAGAAGAAGAGGTGGAGGACATTCACACTTCTCAAACCATTTCACAGTTTAAAAAACCAATAAAAAAAAAACACTGCCAGCAGCAACTTAATTCAGATTTCATTCAGTTTGAAAATAGCAGGAAAACAAATTAGAATCCTTTAAATCTTCCTTTGCTTTCTTATTCCTCTTAAAAGATATTCAATTCACTGCTTAATATGAAGGTGACACTATACTTCTACACAGATTCATGTATGTGGCACTGGCTAGAGCTCTAAACCCACCCCATAGCCACTTTATCCACCGTTATCAATTGCTTACACAAGAGCTAGCGTGCTAGCTTGCACATACTGTAAGCACATCATGGTTATGATGCATATTATATATACACATACATTAATTGTGTGTGTGTGCGCACATCATAACAATTGTTTAACCATGAGCTATCTTGCCTACCACAGCCGATAAAATGGCTACAAGTATATCCAATAATCTCCATACATAAAAAAAGCTAACATACCAAAATGCATTTAAGCATTTATGTGTTTTTTTGCAATTAAGCATAATTGTGTTACAACTATTGTACTATACAAATGCCAACATTCTTAGGACCTTATTCATGCTGCATCCAAGCTTGTATGAGGGAAATGTGGATAATTGTGAACACACTGTCACTGTATGGTTATGGGAAATCTTGGAGTGTCCTGAAAAAAAGTTGTCCCCGACAATCATCAAAAGGAGGGTCGAATGAGAGATTTTCCCGGGGGGGTGGGGGGGATGAATGGCATATAGGCTATGGGCCATTCAGTAGGGACTGGGACACCCGTGCAAAGAAGCACAGAGGATGTTCTGGAGTACTGATAACCCAGCACCCTAAGAATATTTTATGTTTGGGTTTCCTTTATTTTTTGTAATTAAATGATTTTTTTAAAATGCATGTGCCAGGTGATACAGAAAAAAGAAGCAACTCCTGACTAAATCTGATTCGTTTATCCATTTCCGTCACCGACAACGCGTCAAATAATACAAGCATTTTCATAATTTTAATAACCGGCTAAAAGAAGTAACGCTTTCGTGCACGTAGGCTATATTAACTTAAACTCGCTAATGTCTTACTTGCACAGTTTTAGTGGATGAAGGAAGTCAGACCTCAGATGGGAGCAAACCCTATCAGCACAAGACAATATTCGGAAATGCATTTTATATAACACACAAACATTTGAAACTCAGTGTAAGTAACATGCTGCAAGACAACTTGTCAAATACTGCAACATTACATAATTAACAGACCTTGCATAACCAAACAGGTCTAGGAAAGGTGCACACGGTAAACGTTAGCATCTGGAAAAGGGAATAAATGTGGGTAAAGAAGGCAAAACATCTTGCAGAGAGAAAAGCATATAGCTATATATTTATATACGAGTTAGGTTTACATCGCTTACATCAGAGTGCGGCGCAGATAGATACAGTATTTATAGATACTCCAGTGACAACGTCGCAACAGTGACCACGCTACGGACAAGGCAATATCGCCGAGCTTCAGATTTGAGGACTATCAATTCCCCCCGACATGCAGGTTAGCTAACACGAGATAGCGTATCTGGATGCGCGGATTTTAAAGCAGACCGTCAATAATGACCTGTTTCACTGGATGCGTTTCAATCCACGAAGAGAGCCCAGTGCGCTCCCTGCTGTCTGTCCATATAGCTAATTCCACCCCCCAAGAACAACGTTAGGGCCGACAAAAATGCACCCGGTGCTGGGGGCGGTTACCGAACACACAAAGATAAACCTTAATTTTTCGAGTATTTTCTAACCACCTAAACGACACGGTAGTTAAGCGGCAGCTGTAAACCACCCCCCAGAAAAAAATAACCACACCTACAATACGAATCAACAATACATCGAAGGGCTTTAGAAAAGACGGCATTAACGCTGATGTCATCTGCTCATCCAAGCAACGGTAACACGTATCTGTTTGGAGAAAAGGATAAAAAGGAGTATCTACCGAAACAACTCCAGCACTACCGTCCGCCTCTCCTCTGACTGTCTTCCTTATTGACGCTTTGCCGAGAGCCCACTTCTAACAAGGCTCAGCCTCCTCTACTAGATCGGAACCAATCAGCCAAAACCGCAACAATATATTTGGACCAATCAGTTACACCCAAAAACATGACATCTGGACCAATGAGGTACTTCTGTACCACTTCATGACCAATCAATTACACCTGGACCATAACATCTCAATTAATTAGTAGCGTTTACTATCATCATCACCATGCGTACCCAGCAAACATGAGACGTCTCCCAGACGTGCAGGTCATGGCTATATATGGGGTTGGTCCGTCCAGGACTATATCTGTACGTATGCACGACGTGCAAATCAGGTTCAGTATCTGGACGTCTGACTACAACCTCTCTTCAACGTTGATATGTAGTTTAATATCTGAACGTCTAGGTTTTTGGACATTGTCAATTCAATTTAATGCTCATGAATCCAACCCCCTTTGAATTAAATGGAATTTTAAAAAATATACCATATGCTCCCTCGCATCATTTTCTGAAATAGTAAATGTAATCATGATCACATCTATACATCTACAATTCCACTTGTATATGACGTAAACTGTCTCATCACATTCAGAATTTTTACAGCCCCTAAATTCCAACCATTGTTTTTGCTTTGTATTCCATAGCCACGCCCCTCGCGGACACTTTTGTGCACGCGCTTTCAAATCTGGCAGCAAATTGATGTGCGGTCGAACAAACATTCAGGTTGTTGAAGTAGGTTAATAAAGGTAGAACCAGGTTAATGCTAAATTATGTTCATGAATTTCCTTGGCTTTTTTTGGTATTTTTTGTAACCAACTTCAACCTGCTGTGGCTAGTTAGCTTGCTAACTGTGACTGAGTCCACCGCTTAGCTAGAAAGGGAGGATGTGGACACAGTCAATTATAAATAAATTAAAATTAGGTTAAGAGTTCCAAACGTCCATTTTGCCCAGTTCATCTGCTCTCTGTGCGCAGCACTTAGCAGCTTTAGCTGTGTACTGTTCTGTTGTATATACGTTATTTAAATAAAAGTTTTTATTAAACGCATGGTGGGACTGTTTATAAATGAATTTAGCCAAGAGGCACGATATACACGATGTCTAAAACTAGTCTACTTTTAATATTATAAGACGTTGAAAAGACGTCCATGATGACCACATTTGAAACCGAGTGAGGCACGGTGAGGGAGTTATGGCACTACAGCCATGTTTCCCTGAGGGTGAACAGGTGTTATGCCGAAAAAGGCATCCCTGCCGTATAATGCATGCCTGTCTCTAAATGACCGATTGGTCGCTGATCTGAAACGAGTTGAGCTACTTTGTCGAGTTAGGCTACCGTAGTGCTAATCAATAGCCCCCAAAACCCCCCTAAAACTCTAACCCCCAAAACACCCCTAAAACCCTAACCCCCAAAACACCCCTAAAACCCTAACCCTAACCCCTAAAAAACCCCTGACCCCCAAAAAACCCTTAAAAGCTCGTCGGAACACCGGCATGCATTCTAAGGCAGGGATGCGTTTTTCGGCATAACACCGGCTCGCATGTCCCACTAGGCTGGGGACCCAAGCAGCTGAACCAGGCCAAGAGGACACCCACATAACACCTGGCTGGGGCAGATGGATGGCCATTTCCAGAGTGTGGGACTGGACCGTGTATCAACAGACCTGTTCGATGACCGAGTTGGTCGAGTTATGAAGCGTTCAAGTTCCAAGGTTGGACCGTATTTACTGCACATCATTAATTGAAATCATGATTGATTGTTCAATTGATTGATTGATAATACTTTATTGATCCCCCTGGGGGAAAATTTCTTTAGTCAGCAAGGGTATACAGAAAAGAAAATGAACAAATAAGTCTCAGATACAATATAATAAAAATTAAATAGAATGTACACATGGTATAATCTATAATACATACAAGATTTACAGGAAATACAATCAAAAAATAAAAAATGTAATACTAATGCAACCAGGAGGGACAAAATAAGTAAATAAAAACAATACAAACATCCAGTATGAGTCTAATGGCAATAAGGTGCAAAATATTGGCAAAGTATGTCACCGTGCAATGGGCACTGGTAGTGTCATTCATGCAAACATTAGTCAAATATTGAGGGCTGGGTACAGATAAAAGTAGCAGATTAAAGATAATGTGTTAGGAAATTAAAGATAAATTGGAAGGAAAATTTATATATATATATATATATATATATATATACACACATATATATATAGAGAGAGAGATTTTTAAAAATATATCCATCCATCCATCATCTAACCACTTATCCTGGGTTGTTAGAGAGAGCACGGGACACGAGATATAGGTATATATAACTTAGTTGTATGTAAAATGACTCTTATTGCCAAATGTGTCTGACTAGTATAAATGATGCACAAATACTGTAATTTTAACAAAGTAGAATTTAGTACTCAGTCAATTCTGTTTTCAGTTCCCTATTGTAATAGATCATGTGTTTCAACGTTTTATATTATGTGTCAATAAGGTGTGTAATTAATAATTTTGCAGGGGTGGCTTCAGGCCATTGAGATAGATGTGCACACCACGTGTAAATTTCATATTCTATGTAGACAATCAGGTTGGCATGATTATCAACTATGACATGATTGAGCTATATTGTGAGTTCACTATACATATATTTTTGCTATAACAAATTCATACCCAATCATTTTAGGCAACAGCTTTAATTAATCTAAACTCAAGTCCTATTAATCTAAACTTAATGTAGAATTTGGGATGCTATCAAATTTTTGCTATATGCTGACCTGTTTTCTTAATGTTTAAAAAAGAGCAGACCTGTTATGCTGTCAGAGAAACCAACATTCAAAGGAACACCACACTGAAAGCACACTTTTTAAAAGTTTATTATAATAATCATAATAAGGTGATATTTGTTTTATTTATGACTATAATCAATGTCATTATTGTTCATTTTTAATCACAGGCAATAATAGTAATAATAGTGCACTTTCATCTTTATAGTATAATACAGACATTTCTTTTTAGTATTGTTTTGCTTTTTTGTTTTTCAGATTTTAATAGGAAAAACATCCTGTACTGTGCATGGGGAAAGAATACGCTTTACAATTTTAACTGGAATAATCAATTATAATGATGAGTATAATCATGAAGTGAAGCAGGAGACAGATGAGTTTACATTTACTGTTTATAACAAAAGGAGGATGGGGGGGGGGGGTACGAGTGGGCTGTGCATCATGTCTACAATGCCAGGGGAACAGGGCTGTGGATTTGTATTTATATATACTCAGCACAGCAGGACAGGGGATCAAGCTGGACAGAGACCTACTGGTGGGGAAGCAGGAAAATGAAGGAAGGGGAGGGCATTATCTGAAGAGCCATGTCTTAATTGAAATACACCAGGTGGTGTTTGTAAATAGTAAAGCAGTTTTCCATCCATCGGGCTTTATATCCTATCTTGGTTAGTGTTAAGTGTGGGGGTAGGGGATAGTGGTAGGCTGGAGCCTATCCCAGACAGCATAGCTGGGGTACACCGGGTTTTCTTTAACTGTATTCTATATAAAAGTAAATGTATTGAAGTTTATCACTCTAGTTCATCTATCTGTCTTTTAACGTGGTCATCATTCCTCTGGCATCTTTCAGCTCTCAAGCGGACATGTATACTTACGTTCTTACACAGAAAGATGGCCAGTGAAACCAGCAGCCGGCACCTGTAGCTAAAGCAAATACAGGAGTCGCACAAGAGCTCACATACAAGCATAGGCCTTGACATTCAGCTGGGTTTGCAGAAAGAAAAATTATAAATGAGTTCACGTGAAGGATCAGGTATGGGGCACGTACATATCTCTTGACAATGTTATTTTTAGAAAATACTTCTTACTTTTTTTAACAACCAATTATTCCCAAGACAAGTACAGAACACATAGATGGGGCAATTGTAACCAAAGGTAGCTGTGTCTACGTGTCATTTCGTTTACTTTAATAAACTCAGACGCATGCAATAAACCATTGCCTGTGATTGACTATAAAAATATTCTGTGGTATAGCCTGCCGCATAGCACGGTGATTACAGAAACTGAGTTTTCTGGCGAACAGGGTAGCAGGATGACCTCGTAATCACCAGTGAAGTTCAAACAAAGTACATCTGTTGTTGTATAGCTTGTAACTGCTGGATACAGAATAATTCATTCAGCATGGAAGCCCTGTGCTAATCAGTAAAATAGTGTAAAGAGACAGAAGAGTAACTAGAATGATGCCTCGTCTTTGACTTAGTCTTCTGTGCACAAGAACGTCATTGTCTTTTATGTTCTTGCAGTTGGGGTGTTGGAAAAGCATGGGCATTAACATATTTGTCATGGTTCAGAATTAAGGGAGGGTAATTACTTAATTCGTCTGGAAAATGCATGTCCAGTTTTCAGTCCAGTTTCTGAGAAGAGTATTATTGTTGACTTGGTATCTATTACATTAATTCAGACTGTGAATACTGCATTTTACGTGGGAGATGTTCACAGAGAATCATTCAGTTAATCAAATCCTTAGTCCTGGAGTCTTTGAGATAATCAGCGTCACATCTATGGCTGGAAATAAACAGGAACAGCACAGTCATTCTGTTTCTTCTTGGTATTTGTATTTTTCCTCAAGGTTTTTGTATTAATTTCTGTTTTTTTTTCTAAAATGTACAAGCGAACATCTAGATCACTTTTTTAACCATTTCTTGTAAATGTCTTTTTTAAATTAAGAAAAAACATACAAAAAAACTTACGCTTTAAAAAAAGATTCTTATCTAATAATGGACCTACTGTAACTGCCATTTCAACAATCATTTTTATTGATCATTTGTTTAGATAGGATTTCATTGTTATTTCTTCAGTTTCATTCATTGGTCTGTCGTTTTTTCACTGTTCTGCTGATTTCTTCATCCTCTTCTTTAAAATAAATAAATAAGCTTAAATAAGCATAAATAAATACAATAAATAGTTCTCTTGACATTCACCAGGTTCATTTTTCGGTCCTTCATTCAGCAAAAACAAAATATTAAAGTTGCAAAACAAGCTTTGAAAAGACGTTCATTTCTCATTTTTGCATGTTTATCACACAGTTCTTTTATTTTTTCCCAAGCATTGTTTTTTCCTCAGTTACAGAGTCACTGTCTCTTGGTTTTATTTATTTTCTGATATTGAACATACAAGCTCCAGAGGTCTGTCTGTACTGGCTGAGAGTCTCTTCAATTTTTAAGTGTTTTTTTATTATTTTATTTTATTCTCTTGCCCAACATTTTTCCACAGAGGTCTGAGGGTTTATTTAAAACAGCCTTGGCTTGGCAATTGCCTCCTTCCTCTTCTGCAAAGCCAGGTCAGAATTTTTCCCCCCCCAGTGCCTTCATCGATTATAGAAACAAGAGTCATTTTAGTTGGTGCACTGAATTTGAGCATTTTGGGAAACCACATTCAGATAACACTCCTTAATTCACTTAATTGCATAATAGGCTGACATTTTACTTGTCAGATTTCGTCGGAATGCTCTTGGCCGAAGGTATTTTCCATATCCCTGAATTCATAAAGTGTAAGTGAGACCAGCTCTACCATCCATTTACTTTGGATAGACGCCTCAGCTGGAAAAAAGGAAAAGCCTCTTATCCGACTTTATAGAAAAAAGGAAACTGCAAGATGAGGATTCATTTGCTCCAATTATGTGAAGGTTTTTCTCATTCACTTATGCTGCTCTATGATGGCTTGTGCCTGGTTTGTTTACTATTTAATCCCTTGGAAACAAAACTTAAGACTAAAATCATCAGATGAGATGATGCAACTGCTTAAATATATACTTGTGCCTTTAAATGAGATGCATATTTGCTACATTGGTTAAATCTCTGAGAAAAAAAATTCCCTGGATGTTAAAACGGCTTCTGAAGCAAGAAAATGATCCAGGTGAGGTGTGAGCCAGTTTTCATCTTCATTTTGTCAGTTTTACTTAACATTTCTTCAGCTGGGGATTTCCAGTTTGCTTAAAATTTGGCCCGTGTCCTTATCATTTGCTCCAGAGTATAGTTTGTGGAGACAGGGGAAATATTTATACCTTAAATATATGCAGGGTCAGTTTAGTAGAATAGCCCCCCTTGCTGATCGCTACCTGCAGCACTGCAGCATTCATCAAGCTCTTAAGGAAGGGTCTCCCTCTCTCATATCCAGGGTGCACTGAGCAAATTTTCAGTTTTGAAATCTTCCCGCATTGTTGTTGCTGCACCAAAAATCTGCACAACTTTACATAAGTAGTAATTCTTCGTGTAGGAATGTAGAATAGTGAGCATTTTCACTTGATTCTTATCTTGTTTCCATTTTTGGTTTCCTTTATAATTTATACAATCTCTTGTTTACTATGACAAGAACACCTTCATATTGCATTATATTAAAAGCTTTTTTCTTTGGGAAAGTTTCACATTCTCTGAGATTTACTAAGAGATTTACTATTTTGATGAGTAATTTTTGTGGAGACCTTCTTCTCTCTAGGGGTGAACACCAGGCCATCTACTGTCTGAAGTTGGTATTGCAGGTTCCTCTCAGGGCTGCGACTGCGTTCCATTGGAGGACAGCAGCCGGGTCTTCTCCTTCCCAGACCCCCTCCGCTGTAAGGCGCCGCCACTCCCTCCCACGCCTCCTCCTTCTCCTCTGTCAACCCATTCGCCCCTATCTCCGCCTCCCTCTGAACGGCGAGAGTTCTGGCGTGTCGGGGTGCCCGGGGGCCGTGAGGACATCTGCCCGTTCTTCTCATCTGACAAAAGGAGAGAGAGAGAGAGAAAGAGTAAGTGAAATGTCAGCTGAGAAGGGCAGCCCGCTGGGGGGCAGGTTTTTGGTGCAGGGGCCTCACCGGCTAGGGCCTGCACTGACGGCTGATCATGGGTGCTGAGCAGCTGGGCCTGGATGGACTCCACCACCCGCTTGAACCTGCGGCTGGGACCTGAAGGGAGAGTAACGTGTGTAAACAAAACACACCGATCAGCGAATGGACTGGCCAAAATGCCTCCTCCTTATACAGTAGAACCTTGGAGCTCAAATGCTTCTTAACTTGACCAAGTTGGACATCAAACGGGTTTCTTGAATTTTTTTCAACTTGTACCTCGACCGAAATCTTGGAACTCGACCGTTCCTGCCAAAACGTAATTATATGGGTTGAGACGTACGCGTATTCAAGTCTACCAATTCGTACCTCCAATGGTTCAGTCGAGAAAAATTTGCCTGAAAACTTGGAACACGTCAAACCAGACCTGCTAAAACCTGTACGGATCAAGATGCAGCTCTGATGAGCTGAAACAAAGGCAGACGGACCTGCTGGTATGCTGATGCCTATAAATCACTCTTAGTGTTCACTGAGTCTGACATGTGAAAGCTGTGTTCAGTGTGAATTTTTTGTGCTTTATCTACAGTACATTTAGTGATATAGTAATCATGGCCCCTAAGAAAGTGAGCAGTGATCAGCAAACCGAAGAGTAAAAGTGTAAAGAGTAACTGTAGAACTGAAAAATGAAATTATAGCAAGACTGGAAGGTGGTGTACGTCTGTCTGCTCTCGCTTCGGGGTATGGGATTGTAATTTATTTCATGTTTATTGCTTTTGTATGTGTGCTTTTTCATGTGTGTATTAGTTTTATATTGATTGTTATTGCTTTTTATAATTAGCTAGGAAAGTAGATAGGTTTAAACAGGCAATAATTTGGTGGTCTGGAACGGATTAAATTCATTTATATTATTTCTTACTGAGAAATTTGACTTGGACCTCGACCAAATCGCAACTGGACCAGCCTTCTGGAATGAATTAAGTTCGTGTTCCAAGACACCATTGTAAATAAACAGGACATTTTAAAAATGGATATTAAGATATAGAGAAAGCGTCAGAGTTAACTACCTAAAAATATCTGGTACAGACTAATACAGGAATCTGCACTGCTATGATTGGTAATATGTCATGCCAGCATCTTGTTTATCATACACTAAATGACTCAAAATTTCTTACTAAGATAACCTGCAAGGTGTAGCTTGTCTGGACCACACCGCTACCCCCGGCTGTCCTGTCAGCGTACCCGATATGAGGGTGAAGGTCACGCTGTAGATGCCGGTCTCCCTGCGGCCCTCCCGTTCTGTTCGCTCCCGCTCCCTTTCCGCCTCAGAGAACGCGATGTCCACCTGGAACTTGACGGGCTTTTGGAAGACGGACGGCCCGCCTGAGGATTTGTACTCTGCCCTGAAGCTTGTCTGGGAGACGACGCTGTGACTGAGGGAGGGAATCTGAAACCAGAACACAGTGGGTATGATGATACTGCTCTATGGGCACGACTGCATCGCAGGATGATGTGACTAAGAAAGTATGATCCCGTAACAACGGTGCAGAGAAACCAGGGAAACTGAATGACCTGAAGCAGTGTCACTTCAATACATCAGAATACAAAACCTACACAACACTGAAACATTAAAACACTGAACAACACTGAAAGAGATAAAACACAGGCCATGAAGAGCCTGACTCCAACCATCTACCATCCAACCACTTATCCAGATCAGGGGGGCCTGGTGCCTATCCCAGGCAGCACAGGGAACAAGACTAGGGCACACCCTGCATGGGATGCTAGTCAATCACAGGGCACACAAACGTATACACTCAGGCACATAGACTAGAATACAGGCAATTTAAAGATATCAATTAGTCTTACTGCCCGTCTTTGGACTGCAGGAGGAAACCAGAGTAACGAGGGGGAAGCAGAGTAATGAGAGAGAAAAGAGCAACAGAAGGGAACCAGAGCAATGCAGGGAAACCAAATACCACAAAAAAGAGCAGAGGAGGAGTTCAACTCGGTAGCTGTAAGGCAACAGCACCACCTATAGAGCCATTATGCCAACCGGCTGATAAATTAACTTTACTTGATTTAAATGAATTAACACATAAATACCTAATCATCTTACATTATTGTAAAGGGATAGACAAATAAGAAACCCACCGAAAGAAAGGCATGAACAATATCGGCTTTGATGGAGCTGAGGGGTTTGTCTCTGATCACCACGAAGATTTGCTCTTCCTTCTCTAGGCTGATGAAGTTTCCAAACCAGGACTTCTTCGCAAGTCTGTTAAGGTTCCGAGAAACAAGTTAAAGCATTAGACACCCAATGAGCAGATGGGGATGAACATCACCATGACAACACTGCGGATTTAAGGCTGCATCACTCACTCAGGGCTGGACTCAGGGGTTAGGCTGGACATGTCTTCTGACGTGGGAACTAAGGATAAGAGAGGAAGCACATGTCATCACAGGGTCTGCTCACTTCACAGTTCGCATGTGTTTATTTTGAAACAAATAGATGTTAAACCCAAGAAAATAATAAATATAAAACAATTAAATACAATAGAACCCACTTATAGTGATCACATTTATAGTGATCAACCACTTATATAGATCAAAAGGCTTGGAACAGAATCATTCCTACACAGATACTGTTTAAATAATTTGCTTAAAATAATGAAGTAGTCCACTTACAGTGTTCATTTTGGGTATTTTTTTTTCATAACACCATAGAAAAAAATTATACCGTGCTAATTCTTTTCTTTTTTTAAAAACTTTATTTAGTTTGATAAGCCTCTTTTGCCTTGCAGTAACCCGTCTGCTTCTGCTAGCTACCTGAGGCTAATGCTGCGTACATAGAAAACATGACGGGAAAAAGAAAGTCATTTTCTCTCAATGATAAACATAAAATAAACCATGAAAAACTAACCACTGAGAGTCTATATTCTATGTACAATATTGTACAGTATTGAATCACGGCAGTGGTGAATGAAAACGACGAGAGGTGGACTGACACAAAGCTGTTCTTTATATTACTCCTTAAAGGGAGCCCACAAGAAGCAACGAAAGCCATGAACAACATGAAAACACGGGAAGTTGCATTAGGGACAGTAAGGCACACACACGGTAGGTAATTACACAAAGGCTAAGACACATGAGGATCAGGAAAGAACTGAGTACAACCACAATTAAAGGCACACGTGACAACCGGATACACAGCACAAGTACCTACACTAAAAAATACAAATAGGGGCTGTACACAAGACATATACGGGGCTATATACACACGCTCACGAGGCATGCCGGGACATGCAGATGCCGCTGGAACTACGGTATTATAGCGCATTTGAATTATACATAGTTCAGTAATTTAAATTGCACAGTAATGTAATTTGAAAAGCATTTGAAACAGCTGTACTGTATTTTGAAAGAGTGAAAATTTTGTAAATAGCAATGATGTCCGTTCTATTACCTTAAATTCATGTAATAAATATACAAATGTCAATTAGATGGTAATCTGCCTGAGACATAAAGAAAAAGGGAAAAAAAAAGGAAAATAATGGTCATCCACTTATATCAATTGATCAGTTTCACCCAGACAGATGTGATCACTATAAGCGGATTCCGAAGTATATATTTAAAAGGGGTATATATTTTGTAGCCATTTCCCAATCAGTCCAGGATCCCTTTATTCAGTGAGAGACTTTTATTCAGTCCCCCTCAAGATCACAGGAAACACCCCTGATTGACTAGTTTCCATTCATCTGCAGCATTGCCCCTGTGCCCCTACTATGCCAGTTCATCATAACAAGATCAATCCTGCCCATTCAGACTACTGTAAAATCCCGTTATAGTGGATTCGCTTATAACAGAATATTGTCTATAACGGACAAGGTCCGCTGGTCCCGGCCGTGTGCCTTTACAAACACGCAGAAAAAGCATCGGATATAGCGGACTCACATATAACGGAATTTCGCTTGTAACGAACAAACAATTTGGTCCCCAGGGCCGTTTTTAGCTGCAGTTTTGTTAACGGACATGTGCATCAATAGTTATTTTCAAAATGGCTGAGAAGTCTGCAACGAAGTGTCATTCTATAACATTAGGATTTAAAATGCGAAATCGTTCTTTTAATAGAAACAAAAAAGAAAACACAACCGGATATTGTATGTGACTATGGTATAAATAAATCTACAGTCAGTGACATCTGGAGTAACCGTGAGAAGTACAAGACTTTTTTGCAGTTTGAGAAATGACAGATTATTTTTCTTCCTAGTAATTTGCTTACAGTACGACATAATGCTTTAGAACATCTTTAATGTAGGGTATTAGAATGCCTCTTGTCATTTGCTATGCATTCGTTCACTACAGTAGTAAGAAAAGAAGATATAGGTGTTTGTGACATAAAATGATTTTTGTTGAGTTGCAATAGGTGAAATACAGTAAATAAAGTTGGACTACTACATGTAAAATATAATAATCTATACCACAAGTGTGTCTGTTGGGGTGTGGCATGAGTAAATGGTGTCCTGTAGTTGTGTTCTGGGCATACAGCAACTCTGGATATAACGAACTTTGGATATAACAGACTTTGGAAATAACGGACTGTTTTGCCAGGTCCCTTGAAGTCCGTTATAACGGGATTTTACTGTAATTATTCAGCTTCAGTCCTTCCATCTCTGGACCTTGGGGGTTTCTGTAAGAATACTGCTGCTCGGCTACTCTCTGACCTCCCAAACTCATCCATGTCTCAGCCCCTCCCCCAATCACTTGGCCCTTCTCCCCCTTCACAATCTCAGTCTAAGCTTTGCTTAGGGCAGCAGGTGGCACTCCAGTACACTGAACACAGGCATTCTCTGGAATCCCTGACTCATCATTTACCTCGTTCTCTTCTGCTTCAAATTGCCCTTCCCAATGGCCAATGAGTGTACCGTGCAGAGGTGGGAGTTTACTCAACCCAGTGGGACATATACTAATTTGCCTGGGTGTACTACTGTGATCCATCTCGCCAACAGTGAAGTGACCTAAACAGTTCTCACTGATTCTATCCTTCCTATTCCACTTGATCTATATTTTGGTAAGATCTGCTTTTGTTTTGACTCCAACCCAGACCAGAGCCCATCTGTGTATCCTCTGAATACTGAAGTCTAAATTATGCATGCACCTTGTTTATTTTCATGTGCAAAAAAAAACTATAAATAACAACTAAGTCTACATTATCACACCAACCCTGTTCTGAACCAGAAGCACCTGGAACTGTCAAATTGGTCACAGCTTGGCTGTAGTAGAGCTGGCTGATGTCTGAAAGCACGATGTCAACAACACGTGGAAAAAAAAATACAAGGGATGTCAGGCGATTCATTTACTTAATCGCAATTCATCACTTACTTAATCACGGCATACTTTTTGAAAAGTAGCACTAGAGTAACAATCTCAAATGCAGAGCTCAAACTGACAAACTCTAACCAGCATTAAGTATTGACAGAATAAGGAGATACAGGTGTGACTAAGATCGAATGGATTAACTGAACAAGGTTGACAAATCCATAAACCAAACTGCATGTGAAAAAGGAAAAGAATAAACTGAAGATTAAACAAGATTATCGCTGGCTTGCCACCGAGGACCCCTAACATTCATTTAAAGTTCTGATGAAGAGATTACTTATTTCCAACAAAAATACAACTTGAAAGCAAGTACAAGCTGAATTTCAATGCTTTCAAAAACACAAAATGAACAGATAACAATAAGAAAATTGAGGGCATTGTATTTATAAGTAGGGATGTCAAACGTTCTTGTTTTTCTTTTCTTTTTTTTTTAAATCGCACACCTTCGCATGTTTTCAAGAGGCAGGTCAAAACACTATATAATCCTGACCGTATGATCAACCCCGCTGCATGGAATATGTTATCAGGAGCACTGGACTGTATCTTTGTGTGATGAAGTTTGGGGAAACCTATCATATATAAGCATGTAAATCTCAAACCTATTTGGCAAATTAGTTTTAATAAGAAAAGCCTGACAACAATTGAAAGTGTACTTGATGACTGGAGAGATCCTCATTTTAAGGTATTGGCTTTCAATAAAATAAATTACAATATTTTTATTGCATTTATGCTTCGGTCTGGCAGTTTTTTAAAAGAAACAAGTACCAATGCCAACAATGTTTCTTCATTACTCTCCACCATCAATTTCCCTGATAGGTTGAATGTTTTGATTGCAGTGGAGAATTCTGGGATTCTGTGCAACATTACAACTGACGCTCGTGCCCTGTTTACAACCAGCAAGGACTACTATAGGTCTCTATTTAAAATCTTTGCTCATACTATCCCCATACTATTAGGGTATCAAAATACCGCATATATATATATACACACACATATACACAGACTCTGGCTGGACTCTGGCTACACAGCTCGTACACAGCAAGGCTCGATGCGCTTTGTGTCAGGATCAAAATTATCTGCCATTTGTGCCACAGTAGCCCTTCTGTTACTTTGTAGCAGATGGGATAGCCTTTCTTCATATATTGAATTGAGAAGTCTCACTCGCCCAACACCCTGTCTACGGATCATGGTTTTTCCCTCCTCAAACCACCCTCAGTAGGTTCTCACCACAGCTGACCACGAGCACCTCATAAGCCCTGCCTTTTCGGAGATGCTCTGACCCAGTCATCAGGCCATAATGATTTGACCCTTGTCCTTCAGTCACTCAGACCTTCATCCCAGTCCATTTCTACTGCATTCAACACGTTGACAAGCCCCGAATACAATATATCCCAGACTTTGACACGCACCATTCGTGTCAACATTATTCACGTGACAGAGGTCATAGAGTTTTGGCTCATCAGTGTATATCTCTCAATAATAAAAAAAAAAAAGTCAGATAACAATCAGAAAGATAGGGAAAAGATCGATTTTGTTATTGTCACCTAGTTTTTAAAATAACCTAGTCTGACATTTCTAGATATTTCAACAAGTGAGCAGTTAATCTGTTATAGATTAGTGTTAAAAAACAGCTGTTGACTCGGACACTCTTTGCTCATTTCCAGTGTGGTGCCAAACCAGCCCATAATGTTAAGATCTGCTTCATTACAGCCTCCAAGACCTGGCTCCTATCCTGCCATGATAAGGAATCATCTAAGCGCAGCTCGACACTCAATTCTGAGGTAATCTAAGAGAGGCATATAGAACAATGTTAATGGTTTTTGCTGGAAAACCAGCTTTCTGAAAATTCTCAATGATAAAATCTGATCGATTTATACATTGTACTGGTGTTAAAAGTCCAATGCTATCTGTCTGAAGTAAGTACAGTGGTACCTCAGAACTTGAAATTAATCCATTCAGAACTCCGGACCGAATCCTAAAAAGTTAGAGTTCTGATCTAATTTTCCCCATAAGAAATAATGGAAATCCAATTAATTTGTTCCCGACCCCAAAAAATTACACCTAAATGTTTTTTTTTTAGCATTTAAACACAAAATGAACAGGATAAAACAAGAGCATATACTGTACTAAACACATCTAAGCACATTTATCAAAACAGTCATTTGTAAAGTAAGATAATAAGTGTATCCAAACAACGTGTAAAGTTAAAAAATATAAACGTGTCCTGCCCCGCTCCTTCCGTGTGCCACGCCCCCTCGTTAACCCTGTGTGGAATCCCCGTGTGATCAGCTGTTTCTGGTTGTTGTCTTTAGTCCTCTGTTTTTAGTCCGCGTTTCAGTTTGTTTCCCCAGTCCAGTCATTGTATTGTCCGTCTGCGTTTTGCCTACCTTACCTGTAATTAAACCCCATATTCCCCGATACCCTGATGTCCGCGCCTTTGTCTCCGTTCAGTCCCCGCTCGGCACGACAATATTATTATAATTAAATGTATTAATGGTTTATTATTAGTATTAAAATAATTTATAAGAAATCTATATTTTTAAATATATTTCATTATATAATAATAATTACTGTTACTATCATTGTCTAAATGTATTTTTACTGTCTAAATATAAGTATTCAGCTAGTGTAAACATGCACGATGCTATCACAGCGAATGCGAGGCTGAGACTGAAGCGTTACCCTTTTTTTCCGCTGAGAGACGTGCCGCGTGACTCATTTCCCCGTGCGTACAAGTTATCTTAGGTCGTCGTTCACGGTT